CCTCCAGCAGGTTTTTGGAGGCTATAAATTGCATGGAAAGAGATTGCCCATCTTTCTCCAGTGGAGCAGCTGGTGGGCTTGAACCACCTCCCTTTGGAATGGCAGCACAACTCATTACCCACTAGGCCACCAGAGCTCCCTTAGGAGGTAAGAAATAAGGGCGATGTCATTGCAGTGACTCTACATATAAGTTCACTAGTTCACTATTTTTATATTTGCATTTAAAGCTAGCATCACACAATTGAAAGAATAGTAAAATTAAAAAAAGAATTATCAATAATAGCATGAAACAGTACATTTCTCAAGCTTTTTTTCCCAAAGAACAAAGGCAAAGGCCACATAAAGGCTCTCATTTCACAACACTGTTATTCCAAGTGACCTCAGTATCAGGATTTTGAGTCACAGCCACAAGCTAATATGAGGATTATTTAGATGTTATATGAGGAATTGGCAGTTCAGAGCTAGAATTTTTGCCTTCCAGGTCAGAAGCCTGCGTGCACTTCTACTTAAGGACTCTCTCATGTGTAGCTGTTTATGTTTGTTTGTTGGTTTTTTCTTTTTTGAAAAAAAAAAAAGCAAATGAAAAACACCATAACAAGATGTGTGAGAAACCATGGGAGAAAAGGAAAGGCCCAATGTACTGACTTCCTTGCTTTGGAATCACACATTTCCACTTTGCATTGGGCCTCACAAGTTATGTAGCCAGATCTGGCCACACTACTCTCCCCTGGTGCTTTTCCAAATGCAATCCCACCTTCCCTCTTCGCCTCATCCTTCAGGACAGCTGGGTCAGCATTTCCCTCCAGTGGGGAACCTCAGGCTGCCTAAGGCCCCCTGTACCCTATAGCCCCTCACAGCTCCCTGCACATTCATCAACCACAGTGATTACCACACTGCGTTGAAACTCTATTTACATGATCTACCTCAAATACAGAATGGTTTGCAGGCTCCCGGGAAGGGCATTCTCGACACCCACAGCACTTGCTCAACATCAATACTTAACAATTCTCTTCAATTTAAGAGTTGGAATATTATTTCTCTGTTTAGAATCTGTCACTTTTTCACTTTTAAAATAAAGTTCTAACTTCTCATTCCCTTCGCATTTGGCCCTGCTGCCCTATTCCAGAATCCCTTCCTGTACAACCCAGACGTATCTCATGCCAGTACCTGGCCTCCCTCACACTGTCCACACCCACCGTGGCACACGCTGCCCGCTCTGCCTGCAGGGTCCCTCTGCCCTGTGCACCTGGGGAGCTCTGGATCTGCAGTCAAGATGGGGCTGTGAAGTTAGACACGATCCACTTCCACCAGGCCTCCACTGTCCCTTTAGCTCTCCTGCCCATCTCTTCTTCTTTT